AATCATAGATGTCAGATGTAACGGGGACGGGGGAAAAAGTGGACCCCAAATTTATAGAACGACCCTTCTACCAGTGCCCGACCGACACCAAAATTCTGGTACTTGTTTCCCTCGACTAGTGCAGTGATGGTCCGCCCTCTGGTTGCTTGCGGTGCCCTGGCTGTGATGACAACTTCTGCTCCTGGTTGAACCTTCAATGGGCGTCTGCCTGTGTAGCGAAGATGGCCAATTTCACCACTCGTTCTGGCGATGTCAACTCCATCTACGTTGACGCACTGAAAGGCTGTATACCAGGTCTGTGATCTTTTCTTGGTCTGGGGCATCAGTCCTCCGCCATACCTATCATGCAAGGTGTTGTGCAGAACCAGGATCGCATTCGTTCCGAGGAGAAGGGGGATGTTGTGTCGAAAGGGGGTGTCTCGCACTACCAGGGCAGGGACGTTATTTACCTTTTGTCCCAGGGCGTCAAACTAAGCAGGATGTATCCCTTGTGGGGGACCCTCTGACCTCCAGCACCTTTGATTAAGATATCTGACGACCGCAGTGCCTCACATCTAAGCTGTGGATGTCTCCTGACAAACACATCAGTGACGGTGGTCACTTGGGAACCCGTGTCCACGAGAGCCTTACAGCATTTGCCTGAAACTATCACATCGGTGGTGCTGACTGGTCCGGCGATATGCATTGGCCCCTCCTTTTGCTGAGATTCCTGGCAAGCTTGGGCAGAAACCATTCCTGTGCTCCTCTCATCTCTTGATCCAGTAGGGCTTTCATTTACAGAGTTACCTGCCGATTGCCTGGCATCCGCAGGTCGGGCTAGTTTAAAGGCTGCTGTCCTTGTCGGGGTACTTTACATTGCCTTGCGAAATGACCTACTTCCCCGCAGTTGTAGCATCTCCTTTCTGGCCTTGAGGTAGGGGCACGAACAGGAAGATTCGATTGTCTGGGGCTCCACATCGACTGTCCTTGAGCCTCTAGGTCAATGAACTAAAGCTACACAGAAAGTTTAGTTGGGGCCAGAATATACAATGGGAGAAGGGGGAGGCCACTACTAAACTAAACACGCGAGAAGAGGGGGTGTACTCCTATAAAAAGACGGGTAGCAGATCTGAAACTAGGGAAAAACTTTAACTTATTTTCTGCTCCTTTACATATTGTTTCTTTTCCTTCAACGTGTGGATTGTAGTTGTCGGAGCACTTGTAGCTTGATGATCCACCGTAGTGCGCTTTATCTTGCGTTTCAAAACATTGAGTGATTTTGTCTTTTTTTGTTGCAGATGCCTCTTCTCTGTGGTCAGTTTTTCATTAGCCTTTTGCAGTTTTGTTGAGATACTACGCCACCTCTTTGCTTCTTCATTCCAGAATGCTACTTGGGTATTCTTTCTCTTGTGTTTCCTCTTATTCAATTCACCAATGGAAGTGTACTGTGTGGCCAACCTTTTCTGCGTGCTTGTTAGGGTCTTCTTGGATGCATCATAATCCTTTTTGAGCTTGTCAATTTCTGCCTGCCGTTTGCTTATCAGGTGCCTAAAGTTGGGCATTCTCAGCACCAAGATCCTTTGCCACCTGCTCGTATGGATTTTCTTTTGTTTTTTGGGTGCTAGTGAATAGAGGTGCTCACTCCTTGATGCCTTGCTGCTCAATGATCACATAATTCTTAACAAAGGAAGGTCAGTGACCCTCTCTAAAGTAAAAAGTGTTAGCGGAAAGAGGAGTCGGGGTACTAACCTGGAGGGGAAGGGGGTGCTACTCCTATTTAGAAAACAGACTAGGAATAAAGTAAAAAGTACAAAGAAAACTAATACTCCTCCACATCCACAGTTGGAATTGGGACGTGTCTGGTTTCCCACTGACGTCGGACTGCATTGCAAGGGACGAGATGTATGACTTCAGCATTGGCAGGATTCACTGGTGAGGGGGGTCTCATGTTGTAAGCAGGTTCTAGACTTGGCATTGACGAAAAACCAGTTTGAAATTCAGCTTGTTGCTGAACGTAGTCTTTCGTGCGCTGAGCGATGTCTGCTGGAGCAAGTGGTGTGCTTATTTTTTTGACTGACAATCCAGTTTCCATCTCCATGGCTGCTTCCAATGCCTCGGCTTGAGCCAAGGTTGCTGCTGCCTCTCTTTGGTGGCTCAGCAATCCCAAATCTGCATCTAGTTTGGCCTTCTGCAATTTCATTTTTGCCTCGTCTTCAGCAAAAGATGCACGGACTCTCGCTGCCTCCGCTTTGGCACGGGCTCTGGCTACTTCACTCAATGATGAAGATGAGCATGTGACCCTTGAACTCGCCTGAGAGGCTCGATCATTGCATTTGTCTTCTGCTCACCTGCCCTTCTCTCCTCCTCCTCTCTGTTCCTCTAGTCGCACTTCTTGCAAGAGAGTTACAATATTAGGGAGGAGTTAAGCATTTCTTGAGGTCTAGCTTCATCAACAGTGACTCATTGTACAGGCATCCCTTGGTGAACTGACAGAACTGTTGGATGCGGACGTTGTCGACTCGGTCGGGGTTCACGCCACCCATATCCTGCAACCGGGTCAACAGTTCCTGCAATCATACAAGATAGTCAGAAGCTGCCTGTCAAGGTCTCTGGAAACACTCACTGAAACGTAGGTACAGCTCGTCCCCATTCGCAGTTAAGCTGTATGCCTTCTCAAGTCCTTCCACGCATTCCTCAGCAGTGGCCTCTTTCCCCAAGGCCCACATGATGTTGCTTGCCGGGGGAAGAAGTGACTCGATCACTCCGCTGAGTTTCTCTGAAGCAGAAATGCCCGAGTCCTCAACCAGCTGGCGTGCTGGCCTCTTCCAGCTCTCGTTATCGAACTCCCCACTCGGTACCGGGGACTTGCCCAAAAATAGGCGTAGCCACCCCCGGTTTGTAGAGGATGCAGACACATGTTTCACGACTGTTTCCCCCACCTCTTTGAATACAGACTGGTCAGATGTTCTGGGTCTCGACTGAGTACTGGGCAGATCTCCCATCGTTTTACCCTAGGCTTTCAAGAAATCTTCTAAGGCATCTTTAAACTCTGTGTCAGACATGGTTACTCAACAAAAATCACAGCAAAAAAAAATTATCTTATCTTAAGAACTCAAGGCAAAAAATGTAATACAACGGCAACACATTAAGTGCATGAGCAAAATGTGAATTGTGATTGCTAATGTCAAATTGATCAGCAATATAACCTGAATCCGGGTGGTGCCTCCAATTTTGTTGCAGGGTGTATTCCAGTTATTACACATTCATATATCAGCTTGTCTGGGTACCTTGACCAAGGGTGTGATGCAGCTTCTTTCATTTTTCAAGTTTTCATTAACAAATGTAGCCTGTAGTTGGAGGGCTATCATAGTTGTAGCAGGTTTGCGGTTCTGGCTTCCTGCCAGTTGGTCAGGGAGTGGCTTAAGTTGGGAAGTGTTTGCTTTGTGACTGCGAGCTACGCCGATGCATCTTTCACTTAGGTTAGAGTTTCTTCTCCCAAAATCGGTATTGTCCAAGATACTTGTTATGCTACAGGGATTTGTTTACATAAGGCATGTTATCTTACCCTTTTGCTCTTCATATGTGGGAAAACTGTGTCAGAAGCACTAGGTTTTGGTCGCCATTTTTTGCCTTAACCAGTTCACACCGCAAAAATTTGACAAGAACGGAACGAGGCTAGGGATTGCTTTTCACTCGACCTCAATGCAAAACCTTAGCATGTATACACATCATCCGGCCCGGACTGGTTAAGGCTAGAAATTACTAAATCTGCAAAACCTGCAGAGTTTTGCTGTTATTGAAGTTCTTCACGCACACGTAGTTAGTCAACATTCCTTGCTAGTTTTGTCAATATAAATACATTCTTCAAATGATCTGAAAATGAAGCTAGTGGGGGTGCTTTGTATAAACAGTACAACATTTTAGAAGAACTTTTAAATTTGGATGGTTGATGTGTTCTTGATTTTGAGCAGTGAACACCTTCAGGGCAGATGAGAGTTGCCGTCCAACATATGCATGTATTTTACTTTATTACTTGAAGGAGTGTTTTTGGGAGATCTATTTTTAGTCTGTGGAGTCCATACATGAACTATATGTACTGTAAATGGTGCTTTGTTGCCACTCTTGAGAGCTCCGAGTGGGGGATATACAAATATGGACTACTTTGAGTGGTGTAGTAAAACTAGCCTTCCAAGGTAATCCATAGAGGGAGGCTAGTTTTACTACACCACAAGATAAAGCAGTCAATATTTGTTTTATAACACCTCTCCCACATATTCCCTTGATTTGAAGCAATAACTGATTAATTTAATGTAAATACAATTCAAATGTACTTACAATTCAATTCAAATGTATACAATTCAAATGTAAAAGTAGTTGAAAATTTACTTGGACTTTTTCAAACTACCCCTTCCCAAAATGTTTGAACCCAGCTCTGTAGAGGGGAACAATATGCGCAACGAGGGTCAGGCGTATGGTGGCGATGGCATTAGGAAAATGTGTGATATCAATTGAAACTTAGTTGGTGAATTTCAATACACCGTAGAAGTGTGACGTCATGCAGGGTCATCTGCCATGGTGATCGTTCCGGACAATATATTTTTCGCATAGGATTTGTACTGGGGATTTAGGTGAACATTGTCTAGTTGAAATTTCTCAAACATTAAGAATAAACAAGAGTGGAAAATGGGACAGCGCTTTGTAGCGGACTGTAGTAATCACTCAGAACGTGACGGATTCCGTTTTCTTTTCCAATCGATAAAAAAAATGATGAAAAATGGGCACCGTACTGTCTGGGTTTGTGTGGAAACATCACCCTGGGCAATGCCTGACCTCGACGGTGTATGACATAACCAATTCTACGGCGTATTGAAATGGAATAGGCTTATTAGTGCTTTAATTTTACTACATTCAAAGAACAGCTCGTTGTTTCTCATGCTTTTTCTTTCCAGTGTTACAATTGATTCTGCTTTCTATTGAAAAGAACAGCCATTTCAAGATCAATTTTAAACGGTCACAACAGCTTCTGTTTTAAAATTTTATTATTCCCAATGACTTTGGACATTTTCAATGTGCACTTCTTGTGGTTTTTGCACACAACTTTGAAATGAAATGCATTATTTATGTACAAGAAAGAAATAAGAAGTAAACAAATAAATGTCAAATACTTAATTTGCTTCCAATGTAAATAAAACGTCTATGCACTATTAAAGTGTGGTAGTTTACCTTGCTTTGTCTTTTATTAATGTCCGTGTTTACAACAAAACCATTCGTCAGTTGAATAAATTATGTTCTAATATGCAGAATTTGTCCTTTCCAAAAGGGCTTATAGGAGCTAAAACGTGTTTTCGCATATTTGGTGATTTCGTGAAAATGTCAAAAGATTACGGCAGGTTTTAGAGACCTTTCCAGGAAATGTCATTGAAAGTACAAAGGGTCTACTCCTCGGTATCAAAGAGGAACGAGGGGTATATAGCAGTGTATCGTGGGACTGGCAATCAAAGTGATGCACAGACTCGGCAGAGGGATCCTGGGTTCTTCTCAGTCAGGAATCGAAGCTGTGACTTGCCATCTTCACTGTATGCTGTGAACCGAAGGAAAGCAATCGAGATTGAGTTGACTGGTAAGAAAGGCTCAGGTCTCATAAAATCAGTGTTGTAGTCGGCTATAAGTGCCAAGCAACAAAAATTTAGCTTCTCAAACCTTGTATAACATAACAATTTTGGGGTGTTGTTTTACGATGGTCATGAATGATTTAATATTAGGATACAAAATCATTACACGGCATAGGACTATCACATTGAAGTATTAACAATTAACCTTTTGGGCAATTCCAGCGTTATCAAAGGATTCAGCAAAATGATCCAAAACTCCTAGTCTGTAATCTCCTTGGCCATTACTAGATGATGGATGTATAAGATTTGGAAAATTCATGTTGGTAGGTTTATTCACTGAGCTCTTAAAAGCTCTGTCGTGGACATTACATAATGCTGGAACTGCTTCAACCTTCCTTGGGTGGGTGAAAAATCATTTAAACATTGGAAGATACAGGACTGTTAGCTTAATCTTTCAGGACAGTACGTGTTTTTGTCCTGAAAGCTTACTTCAATTCTAGATTTGGACTTGTATAACTCGGACTCGGACGTGACAACGGAAACCTCACCTTGAACTATGAGCATGGGTATACAAATATTAAGTGGCTCAGCATGGAATGGGAGGAATATTATTGCTCGGTAAAATCTGGACTTTTCCATTTCACGAGGCAAAGCCGAGTGAACTGGAAAAGTCCAGATTTTACCGAGTGATAATATTCTTCCCATTTCACAATTTAAAGCCACTCAATATTTGATTTATATAACTGACATATATATCCTTGTCATTTGATATATTTGAACTTTTATGTATTTCTCTCTTCCAAACCACCCCTTCACGATAATGTTTGAACCCAACGCTGTAGCGCTGGCTCTTTGGAACATTACGCGCTACGGACAACGCTGAACGCGCACACCAGCATCGCTTCATGATCCTAACTGTTCAATAGTATTTTCCATTCCCCATGGGCAGATAGTACTTTTTGAGCCGCGGCGTGAATGGGAGCAATAACGAATGTCACGTGATGTGAGTTCCACCAATCAAATGACAAGGATCTGTATGTTAGTTATATAAGACTCTATATACGACTTTGTAAAAACAAAACAGACTCATAACCAGCCTACATGACTTTGGATTTGTGATTTTGACTCCAGCGACTTGGACTTTGAAGCAAGATTCAGATTTGATAATTCATTTAAATAAGTATTGCTACGCTTACCTGATTCATTCTGCAGCCATCTCTTCTCCTTGTAGAAAGCAATGCAGCTTTCAAACTCTTTATCTGTGTAGTTGTCGACATAGATTGGCACAAAGGGATCCATCATCTCAAAACCCTGTAAGATCAAATTACGAATGGGTGATTCAAAGCCAAATGAGAAAAAGAGGGTTTTTGGTCAATGTTTCGAAATGAATGCTCCGTCATCTGTGACTGCAAAGATGCAAAACTCCATCAGAAACATCTCGGAAGCTGCGGGCCAACAAATTCGCGTTCATGCAAGAGTCACATGATTGTGCCATGTAATTTCTGAAAAAAAATCTGGTTTTTGACGCCAGTTTGGTCATGTGACATGTTAGGGCTGGGCTACTGATACTTTTGACAAAGTTTGGTTTAAATCAGTCAAAATATGTAGGAGCATTAGACAATGTCAACGTTTGTTACTAATGAACTAACGGAGAGATACGATGATTTGTTGATTTGCTATCCCGCAGTTAACAAAAGATATGATGAACCACCCTTTAAAATGGAAGCACTCTCACAGTGTTCAAATTTGTACCTTTCACTTTTAATCCCACTAACTTTTGGATTATCTTTTTTGATACACCCTTTATAGGTCCTATATCTCCATGAAAGATAATTTCTGTGTACAGATAGACTCATAGAAGTCTACATGATTAGCACACGTCACCTACCTCTTTCTGTAAGAGGTGAAGTGGTTTGTAGTCGTTCCTTGGTGGGCGTAACAGATGCTGGTCCACACTAGTTACTATGGCACCATTAATCTAAGGACAGAAGGAAATAGTACACAAATATAACATGGTTTGAGGGTGGATAGTCGATATTAGCGCCCAGCTGTATTAAAAGTTTACAAACTAGTTCCCAAGGCAAAACTGGGGAACCAGTTTGTCAGCTTCCAATAAAGTTTGTCTGTACTTTTGATCAAACTATTCAGGAAATATTACACAAATATAACATGGTTATAACATGGTTTGAGGTTGGATAGTCAATATTAGCGCCCAGTGGTATTAAAAGTTTACAAACTAGTTCCCGAGGTGAAACTGAGGGAACCAGTTTGTCAGCTTCCAATAATGTTTTTCTGAACCTCATAAGTATTCACCAAAGTTTTGTTGATTTGGTCATCAGTTGTCCTGGCAAAATATTGTTGATGGTGAATGGACCAGTCAATAGTTGGCTCTCGGTCATGAATATGTATGAGGTACGGGTACATGTATAGTAATATATGACATATACCACATTTGGTAAGTACTACAAGAAGATTTGGTTTGCCGAACATGCATACAAAGACAGGTTTTGTTATGAAGTTTTTATGGCCTATGGCCTCATTAAATAAGTGAAACAATGGTGAAACAATGATGCAAGGAGCTCTGTGCACAAGTAGCCCCTTACAAGTGACAAAGACAGAGTTGGACCGACTCTGTACCTTATGCTTGTGTAAATTTATGTGAAAATAATTTGTGCATACTTCGCATAACACTTGTGTGGGAAAATTTCGCATTTGTTCATTCAGGATGTCACTATGTCTATCATAACAGCAAAAAGAAAGGACAAGATGCAGAGATGAAAATGGTCAGTGTTTTCATTGCATAAAATGCCTGAATTACTGTTAGAGTAATGGAGTCATCAATAAAGAAGTTCACTTCTTATACTTGAGAAAGTCGAGGGAAAAGTCCGAAAGACAAGGGCACCGTTCATGGTGCTTCAATCATGTCCATGATTCAACCACACAACTCCACTACTCCACTTGCATTCATACATGGGGAAAAATCAGGCATTATCGTCACAACATTATGATTTTATCCACTGGATCGTTCACAAGGCTACCCGTTCCCGACCGGCAATGTGCTAGTGGAGCATGGACGCTACGGTGCGGTACGTACGCTGGTACCATTGCATATTCGCACGCACGTGTGACACAGTGATTTTTCCATGTCGCCTGTCAATGTGTAACCTTTTGTCCAGCCGGAAAAGGCTCCAATCAGTCTTTCTACCGTTGAAACACTCCAATAACGACTGGTGAAAGAGATTAAAACTATGTTCGCGATGATTTTAACGTGCCATTTCCATTGACTTTTCTTCAAAATTATGATTGAAATAAAATGACATTTTGTGAAAAAATCGTAAAAAAATCAAATTTTGTGGGACGCACTGTAAAAAAATCGGAAATTTCGTTGGAAAATTCAAAAAGTCGGATTTCCGATTAAAATCGGAAAAGTTTCATCTCTGAAGATGTCCTGTTTGTTTTTATACTCCTCGTACCCATTTGCCTTGCAGCATCTTCTTGAAATGTTGCACCATGGTCATTTCCCTCACTGGAATCTATAAAAAAAATATGTTAATGAAACAGATTTGAAACAAATAAACATGAATACAATCAGTGTTTCAGCGTGCTTTCTACTCCAAGCAATCCACTTATTACAGATTAGTTTTTACATTATGCCTTCTTTGCAGATTTCAGTGGAATTTAGACTTGATCGTGTGTCTAATGTGACAATATTTATCTCTGGTTAGGCCAAAAAAAAAATAAGTCGGTCTCTGGTCAGCGCGCGCGTCGATTTTAATCATGCGCGTCGATCTTTTTTTTTTCCAAAATGTTCCGCGGTAGCTCCAACAGCGCCCTCTATTTCCGCACCTCAATTTTTTTTACCAAAGAGCACCAAGGAATGGGACATTGCACCAAGGCAAATGATCGAAAGCACCAAGGCAAATTATGGAGGACACCAATGTACATGAGGACACCAAAAAAGCAAAATAGTACCCACCTTGTCTGTACAATCCAAGCTTGAAGAAAAAAAAAAAAACAAGCCGCGTGGCCGCGTCAATTCTGGAACTTTGGTCTGACCAGAGACCGAATATTTTTTTTTTTGGCCTTATCTTTGAAGTACGTTTTAATATGCAATCGGTTTTTTTAACTCTCTAATCTCCTGAATTTGAAAGAAATGTGAAAGCCTCATTTTCGACAGTTCTGTATATTGCTGGAAAATTATGAAAAATGTAATGTCATTAGACCAGATAATTAAATGTTAAAAGGATGCCTAAGACTAACTTTTCCTTTCATCTCTAAGAAATTCTAGCGCCATTGAAGTGAAGTATCTACATTTATTTTTATGAAATCATATACCTAATTAAATAGTACCGGACTAATAACATCTCTCACATCCATAAAGAAATCTGCAAAATTGTTAACAAATTCAGAGACCACTATCTTACAATGTATCCACCAGGTTTGCGTACGATCGTCTTGTCGGCAAAGAAACCATTCACGCCTTTGACTGCAAACAGCATCTTGAATGCACCGCTCCAGCTCTGTCTCTGCAACTCCTTCAAGATGACTCCGATCGCATCACTTGCATTCTTAGGCCGCGAGATACCCTGAAACGAGAAACGGAAAAAGTTTCTAAACACTCTATCCCCATCAGGTTTTCTTCATGTACTAAATGCAACACACTACAACAGTGGATTCTGTTGCATTGTGCAGTGAACCCAGTATGTACCAGCCTTGGCACCAAGCAGTTACCCTGCAAAATCAACAAGACGCAATGGAACATGGGATCTGACTGCTAAAATGCACAAGCATGCAACAACTGTTTTACCATTGAACAGGGCTTGGTATTATGTAACATTCATAAATAGGTAAGACAGTTTACCAATTCCTATTTGATCGCGATCCCATCAAGTAGGTGTTTTTAAATGGTTGATAAAACATTGACTGGTTTTAAACACTTTTTCCAGCACACCTGCATTTGCACCACCGCACAGTATAGGCACCACGCTCTCGCCAATATCTACATAAGGAGATTTTTAGTACTACTCAGAGGAGGCAAATATCATAGACATAGCTAGATTTAGACACACCAGTCACAAGGAATACAAATCAATGATAACCAGGATGGTGACGAGTTCACCTACAGCAAATATTTAAACCCAGTTAGCTAACTTAGCTAACTGGGTGGATTAGATCACTAACCTGGTCAACAATGGCTAGGAGGGGTTGTCCTTTCTCTGTGGTCTCCCGTTTACTCCATACGTAACTATCAGTCGACTGCAACTGTAGGCCAAAGTACAAACTTCAGTTAAAGACAAATGACACACATATTATTAGAAAGGGTGTATCAAACAATTATAAAAAAATTTGACTGTTAAACGCTTAAACGCTGACATACCAATAGATCTATCAAAATGTGCATGCACTTCGACTTAAAGAAGCATGCAACTTGCACTGAGGTGTGAAACCATCTCTGTAATAGCTTCTTACTGTGTTCAACAAGTTGGTCCCTAGCTATTCAAGTGTTTGGGGTATATATATACTTTGTCCAGTTTGCAAACCAAATGAAAGTTTCACCTCTTTCAAGAAGTGTTCATTTCTGGCTCTGAAATACTTGAGCCACTCCGTAGAGAAAGCTGGCTGGTCATACATCCCCTCATGACGAACTGAGTCGATGTAATCAAACCGACCTTTCACAGTCCAAGAAATGGCTATATGCAGAAGAGAAAGCAAAAAACAAAACTATGAACATTACAATATGCATGTATTTGTTGTTTCAGACTTTATTGGAAGTTTGTGAACAATCAACTACATGTATGCATTAATTTACAGCTTTGAAAGTTGGTTTCTTTGATGTTTCAGCATAACCCTCCTGGAGTAAATCAATATTCAGTGCAATATGTAAAACTCGTTAAAACCCTTCAAGTGTTTAATCAAATGTGTCATAAAGAGAGTCACTGCTCAAAACATTATCACTGTGGAGAGCAGTGAAGTGTGACTGTATCCACCTACTTGCCCTGAGCTTTAATAACTACGCTATTACCTCAGAAGGTTACCTCTAAAATTTGTTAAGTGTGGGTGCTGTAATTGGGCGAAAGCATTCAGGCAAAACTTGAAGGATTTTGCAGTGCAACGGACTAGGAATCAATCTTCTTTACGTTGGTTTTTAACAACTTAACCCTAACCAAACCCAACCCATGGAAGTTCAACAGCAGGTTTTATTTAAATCTGTTGGGATAGGTACGGTACCCCTAAACTGATGGTCTTTTACATTGGGCTTGGCATACCTCCAGAAACTAAGTCCAAGAGTGTGTGCAATTTTCCGTATGGTGTTGGAATTTGCCTGAATGGGCATGGTTCCCAGTAAATTATGCAGGGGAGTTAGGGTTAATGGTACAACTGCTAGACTGGCATTTCAAAGTTGCACCGAACTAAATTGTTCTGAAGTTTAGAATAAGGTTCAATGTTTGAAACAATGAAAAGTGACCGCAATGAAAGATTGACTGACTCTGCAGTTGATAAAAAATCCTGTCTGAAACTGAATTCTATTTGGGTCAACTTGAGTCGCCCAACACTCATTTCAGTGTTGCAGTTGAGGGACTTCTGATGGATCACAAGTCCTTACAAGTCAATCACAAGTCAATCACAAGTCAATCACAAGCCCATCACAAGTCAATCGCAAGTCAATCACAAGCCCATCACAAGTCAATCACAAGTCCATTACAAGTTTTTCACAATTTTTAACAAGTCCATCACAAGTCAATCACAAGTCAATCAAAAGTCCATCACAAGTCAATCAAAAGTCCTCACAAGTGAAAAGTCCTCACAAGTCCATCACAAGTCCAGCACAAGCCCATCACAAGTCCAGCACAAGCCCATCACAAGTCCAGCACAAGCCCATCACAAGTCACCACAAGCCATCCAGTCCCAAATCAAGTCACAAGCTAGTTAAATTGAACTGTGACTTGACTTGTGAAAGGACTTGTGATGTGCTTGTGACTGAACTTGTGCTGGACTTCAGATGGGCTCAAATACAACACCGATTACATAACTACTGACTTACCACATGGCACATGTACAATAAGCCAGCCCTGACTGTGACAGTAGTGTAGGGTGTGACATAATGTCATGGTTTTGCCACTGCCTCTTCTTCCATACAGGACGTAACGTACCGGAGGATGGTCATAGTTAGCTCTCTTGAGATAGTCTATTGTCTCTACGGCCGGCTGTCTGACCATGATGGCCGCCTCCTGAAAGGGAACAATCTAAGGGGAAATGGAAAACACACAAATCACACAAAAATAGTGAAATAAGAACACAGAGTGAAGAATATTCTGAGGAAAACCCACGGAATCAAGTAGGGACTGAAAACCCAATCCACATATTGGCCCGGGCGGGAATCGAACCCGGGTCACAGCGGTGGAAGGCGAGGAAAGTACAGCTACATCAACCTGACTTGCCTTAACACTGGTAACAAATCATGTGAGAAAAATAAGAGGATAATTCTACACACGCAGACAGTGGGTTGTGGCTTTATGAGTGCTGTATTTGTTAACCACATAAGTTTTTCAAATGGGTTCTTGGAAAGCACTTTCTGAGCATGGAAATTAACAGCCTAATTAGAGTGGGATTGAAAACAATGGGCTATTCCATTCAAGCCGACACTCGATGTGCAGAGTGTCATCACACTGCATGTACAATTTATTTATACTGCCAAAAAAGTTTGGGCCTTAGAGTATACAAGCATGTAAGCTTCCTAATTAATTTTTCTATCTTTGAAAACTAACTTTAAATGGACTGAAATAAAAGGATTTTATCATCATAATGGTACTGAAGAGCACAATAAAAGTATATGACATAAAAAAACCAAGAAGAATGATTTTCCAGATGTTCACACTTTGGTGAAAAAACAACTTTTGTTTTCCCCTCCAAGTTGGCTGATGGTTGTCATGGTTCCCATCACATGACTGCAAACCACCAATCAGTCTTACCATTTGTTCCCACCTGGTTGGGCTGCCTACTGGTAGAATTTTCTTGACGTCTTGCTTGGGGATGGTGTAATATTGACCAACATGTTGCATTCCATGATTTGCCTGTGTTCAATAACAATTTGAATTACTTTAATGTTTAGGCGTTTGGCAGGTTTGTGTATTTTTCTCTTAGAAATATTATTCTAATGGAACCAATTCAAGGATATTTGATAAACTTAAGTAAAAGCTGTTGACAAAAAAAGTTTATCCACTGAAAACACTATTAACAACCCTCCTGCTGTCTGAACAGTCAAAAATCAATCCTCTTCCCCTGCCATGCCTTTTACACAGGCTAGTCACCAACTGTCAGATCATATTTCAAGCAAGCAATGTGTGACTAGTCAAATTCAGTCAACAGACAAAAACAGGCAAGTGGTAGTCACAGCTGGTTTATCACTCATCCGGAGTCAAAGCACAGCTGTATCAAGTTACTTAAACAGCCCCAGCCAATCAATCCTGCGTTATGTAGGCTGGGAGCTCTCAACTGTTGAAAACTTGATTGATTTTGACTGAAAGGACAACTTTGCACACAATGTATGTTTGCATAGGAGGGTTAAATTATCTCAAAAAGTTCTGAATCCAACAGTATGCATCAGTAGCAAATTTCGTTTTGAAGAACTGATGAATGGTGTTGTTCCCCCCAAAGAAATTCAGCTTTTGGATACTGCTGAAAACAGCCTTCTTCAGCCACTTTATGGGCATTTTCATAGTGTGTCTGTTCATAGGCGTAGCCAGCGAGTGGGGGGGGGGGGGTATTTAACCCTCCCCCCCAATATTTTCTAAAGACTGCCCTTTTCCATTGAAATGCCCTTTTTTCACCAGCGCTTACCCCCCCCCCCAATATTTTGTAGAGTGACCTTTTTTTTAACAAGTGCCCTTTTTAAAAAGAAGTCCTGCCCTTTTTTGTCACATTGGCCATTCCAGGTGCCTTTGTTTGTGAATTACGTGCATGTTTTGCCCTGAAAAGTACCATATAGTGTCTATTAGTGTGCACAATCGTCGGTTTTGAATGTCCGGGGAAAATAACGTGTCTACATTTCAGCACGGATGTGCTAGTGCCCTTTTTAAGAAATGTTTACCCCCCCCCCCAAATAAAAATGACCGTGCTACGCCACTGCTGTTGCATACTTGCTTATTCAAAAATGGGTTTGCTTGATTCAGCAAGATACTTTGCGGATGCCTGAATATGATAATTGATAATAAAATAAACTGGCTTTGCTTACTGGGGAACTCTCTGAAGTCCTGAAGATATCCGATGTTGATTCATGTGCGCCCAGTGGACTTGCTGCGTCTGATGTTGTACATGATGCTGAAAACTGCCTCACAGATTTCTACAGGCACATCCAATTGACAATACAAAACAAAAAACAGGGTTAACCAATACTAATGCGCATATTAATTGTTTCCCCCACCCCTAACCTCCCGGGCTGCCCCACCCAAGACGTGGGGATTGTCACTTTTGAAGTGACAAAATCTTCACCCCTCTGGCAAAATTTAAGTGACAATTCCCGACCATGCCCCGACTTACATATGTGGGGCGCACTAGTGATTGCCTTTCCATTAGTACGCCAATGTTAACAATGTAATTTGAGTGACCAAAAGCCCCACCCTGGGGCATGAAAAACGTGACCAAATCCCGACATCGGAACCTGGGGTAGCGTGGGGGGGGGGGGGAGAGGAGTGGGGGAAACATTTGATAGGTGCATTAAATTGACAAAATCATTTGCAAAGAACTATTGGTAATGAGTTTTGATACTGCAAATTTTTGTAGGTTAGAGTCAATATATACATTTTTATGATATCAATAAAAGTATATTTAACTGATGTTATCTAAAGCCTAAGGATCAGTAAACCACAAGCACATTTGTATGTGGAGTTATTATATTCTATTTAAGAGTTTAAATTTTAGGACTTACCCCATGCAACAATCTTGAAAGTGGTCTTTGCAAACACCTTCCTAAATGTGATTTTTGTTTAAATGAGAAAAAAGGGCTCATGTTTATTATAAAGGATGGGCAAACAATGCAGCCAAGTGAAACTTTATGCAACTTGTTCATTTCCTGACTTTTTTGTTTAATTTTAATATTTTAGGTTTCAAATGACAAATTGGATATTTGTTGCAAGCACAGCATGCCAAGATAATTTGTGTTGGGCGCGATCGGTCGATCGCGCTGCGCTATTGGTTGATCATGATCAGTCGATCGCACTACCACCAGTCGAACACCTTTTCTTTCTAATTCACTGCTCTGGAGGATTTTTTTTTTAAAGGAAAGTTAAGTCCGAGATATCCTACAGAATCGACCAATCGCTCAGATCGACCGATAGTGCCCAAAATATGCAAACACTGATGATCAGGAAGTTTAACCATTGTATCATTTTAATAATAAATATGATAAAAGAAAACAATTAAGGTTTTCCAAATAATGTTTCCTAACTTATCTGTAAGAATATGAACCTATGAAAGAAGAAATACAAAAAGGAGTGATTTTATACTATAGGCCTAAGGGTTTTGACACGTCACCTTGACATATTTCCTCGAGTATTTTCAAGTAACAACATTTTAACTTTTAATTTTTATAATAAACCATGTCAACATGCTATTAAACTAGGCTTATTACGGCCTATGTTCATTATTAAATCACATCAAACTGTACCCGAGTTGGCAAAACGAGTTGTTAGCCTATTTGTACTGGCCCCGTAAATGTGGCCAATTTACTGGACTACCTCCGTAAATAAAGGCCACACTTCCACCATGTACAAAAATATGTAAAACTTTGTCAAATTTTGATTTTCACATTTAGGCTTAGTTTGTAGTTTATTTTTGCTTTAGAAGCATACTCACCCTCTTTATAGGCTAATCAGAAAGTGCTGCCTTTTTCAGATGTATATTTGGGCCTATTAAAAGTAAATATTACAGTTTGTATGTTTATTATTTGTTTAAGCGCCTTGAGGTGGATTTTTCTGCAATTGTCTGCACTTTATAAATTTCTTTATTATTATTATTTAATAATAATAATAATATTATGTCTATTTTTCGAGAAAATTCCAGATTCGTTTGCACACATTTGCGTATCAAAATTTCAACCTGAAATGTCACAAAAATTAGACATCTGGAAAAGGCAGCCGGCACTTTCTGATTAAAGGGAATGTACAACATTTGCTTTTGCTGCAATATTTAGAAATAAATGAATTTGGAGGATTAGTATGTGTACCGGTAGCAAATGTTGATAAAACTGAGTTGTTTCACTTTTTGGGCTTGTAGATGCTGGAAAAACCAAGAAAACCAATCATGTTCTTGTAGTCTGGTTTCCTGACCCCACTCAAGATGAAACGGAGCAATTTATAGTCTTTGGGGAATTGTAAGCTCAGAGAATCAGTTTAGCAGGCTTGTAATCCTATACAGGTGTGTAATCAATCGCAAACAAAATGTGGAATAACAAAATATGAAAAATTAGGAGCAGATTTTGAAAAAAAGCCAGTTTTCTCCAACGATGGTCGGCCGACCAGCGTTGGAAAAACACACGTTTTCTTGAAAATGTCAGTAGGCTTACACCAGGAGCCCCGATTTTACAGGATCCTTTAGAATGTCATTTCCTAACAATCCAGCAAGGTTTTTCGTGGTAATTTGATAATTTCGTTTTTTGATGTTTGCAAATGTTGTATATTCCCTTTAAAGAGGGTGAGTATGCTTCTAAAGCAAAAATAAACTACAAACTAAGCCTAAATGTGAAAATCAAAATTTGACAAAGTTCGACAAGTTTTTGTACATGGTGGAAGTGTGGCCTTTATTTACGGAGGTAGACCAGTAAGTTGGCCACATTATGCCACGCATTATGCGTACACTGTACGGTTGGTTCGTATACGACGAGTTAGGAATACAACTTGGTTGTCCAATGTTGGCGTACTCCTAGAACTATGAGGCTCCACGTAGTGGAGCCTCATACTGATAGTTATAGGAGTAATGTTGGCGCGCTCGCGTACTGAACTGTGTGTCGCACGTGTCGATCTCATACCCATTTACGTAGGCTACTACTACACCTACGTATCACACAGACAATGGAATAGTTTCCATGATAACGACCGACGGTTTAGGTTATAAAAGCAAAGCGAATTTCCTATTGTTTATCAACTTCCAATTGCTGATTAAACTGCCTACCGTAGCATTTCATGAACGTCGTGGGCGCCGCCATCTTGTTAATTTGCAATGAAATATGGGATATCATGGTCTGAAAACCTATCGCCTCAAATTGCAAAATGTACAGTCCGGTTCCATGGGTACCATCCTGCAACTTGCTCATTTACATTTTTGCGAGGGATTTGATTATCAGTTGGTTACCCTGTTGTTTTGATCGGGATTATCACGCTCTTTTTCAAAATAGTGTAAGTTTTGAGATTAGTCGATTTATGTAAGGATGTTTGGAGATTTTGTTTGTTCTATTCAATTGTCAATAGATTGTACAAATCGCTTTTTATAGTCATATTGAGATGTCTAGGGCGATCGCGCGCACTAGGTGCTGCTGTGCTGCGGACTGCGGTATTTCAAGGTACGGTACGACTCAGTGCGTGAAGATGGCGCTTCGTAACCGCTCTTGTCATGCTTGTTATGACTCTATGAGAGCCCAACCACGCATGCCATTGGGACGGGAGGAAAACACTGCGTTCGGACACTGGTTTGGCTGCTAGTTTCTTAAATTAACTTAGAAACGTTATCTTCACTGAGGCTTTCTCAGATTGGAGTAATTGCAGAATACCCCGCCACTGCTCTGGAAATCCTGACCAGTTTGGATTTAGTAATCGAAGTGGCTATCGTTTCGGCAGCCGTTGTTTAGTGCCCTCTACGATCCTTTTTTGATACGCACGCAGGTATATAATTATTTGTTTCCCCACATTTTAGCGAGCAGTGCGTCAGCTCAGTCGATACTCCTAGAACTATGAGCCTCATAGTTCTAGGAGTACTCAGTCGATAGAGGGTAGGATTTTGTACCGCGAGGTTGCGGGTTCGCATCTCAGTTTTGCACTCGAATTTTTTTTCTTTTCTAACCTGAGGCTTTGGAGGATTTTTTTAAAAGGGAAATAAAGTCCGAATTTCATAACGTTCAAATTCACTTTTTTCCTTCTTATTTTATATTTTCTTCTCATGTTTTTATAAAAGTTGCAGTACTACCATAACGATAGAAAATGGGAAATGCGTTACGGCTGCCGTAACGATAGCCACTGCGTTTAGTAATTGGGTTGTTTTTGTTAAATTTGTTGATTTGGTGACTACTCAATGTTCCGACACCCCTATGTTCCGAGACCCCTATGTTCCGAGACCCCTATGTTCCGAGACCCCTATGTTCCAACAACCCGCACATAAGATTGTGTTAGCCCATTTAGATGTACTTGTACGTTGGGGCCAGAGATCGGCCTATGTTTACTTTTATTTGTAGGGGTGTCGGAACATAGAGGTATCGGAACGTAGGTTGAGCAGTCGGCACATAGGGGTGTCGGAACTCGGAACATAGGCTGAGCAGCCTGGAACGGAAAGATTTCCATATACGAAGTTCACTAATTTTCCTCTGTATTGACTAACAAGCCCCAGATAGCAATTTCATGTCATCAAAGTCAATTTGAGCAGTGAGAAAATACAAGCATTTTCTTAGAAAACACTTAAAATTTTTCAGTCCAATCTCATAGGGTTTGTACACAGGGTGTTGAGTGAACTTCGTATAGTATGGAAATCTTTCCGCCTGGAACATACCTAGGGGTGTCAGAATAAGGGTGTGTCGGAACATAGGTCTGTAACCGTTTATGTTTGTGGATTGCTTGTTGTATGTTTGTAATTTGGCCGAATAAATAATAATAATACAATTATTGGGCAGGATCCTTTCACTTTCAGTAAATTAACGCTGCATAATTTATCAAATTGCACAAAACTGCATTGTGACTGTACCATTGTTGTTCACAATATCGTGTGCAATATTTGACAACCATTATTGATCAAAATGTTTGACGGATGGGCTAATTACTGGGTATAATTCTTCACTGAATATTTGATTATTATTCACAAAGTCTACATGCAGCAACAGATAAAACATTTTATGACACATCTTATGAAAGTGAACTCCTTCAGGTAGCCCATCATTGGCATGGTTGTAAGTTAGTTTTTTTTTTTTTTAATAAAGTTTATGTACTGAAATAGTGAAATCGACATTTGGTACGTAAACATGTTTTGTACAGTGTCTCTTACAATTGTCTCAATCGTCCAATCAGCCAGGTGCTTTTGGAGAATGTTGGAGGATTGAGGCTGAATGCTTTTGATTTTAGGAGTATGCGTTGCGTTAAAAGTTTTAAGCTTAACCTTGCATTGTATATTTTCAGCAATGTATAAATGTACATAAATGTAGGCCTATCGAAGGCAGTATCCATTTTTCCCCCTACATTGCGGCAGTTAAGAGGACTTTAAAAGAATTTAATGTGATGTTCTTGCAAATTATACATAAAAGACACCTAATGTTATACAGTTCCAAAATCCAGTCAAAGGTCTGAGGTAAACACATACACTTATACAGCTTGATGTTGGGCAGTGGCAAAACTTAGATACCTACCTGCACCGGTAGATATAACAACAAAAATGTAATGTTTTTAACAATGTTTTTATTGTGTAATCTGACCACAATTCAGTTATTGGCTTTCTATGGTTCAGTAATAAAAAAAAAAACATTTCAAATTCAAATAAATAAATGAAATATTAAAAAAAAATCATTTCCCCAGATGCTTTATAATTTACATGTACAATTCTCAAAGAAGTTTCAGTTCTATTCATACCAGTATTTATGTTTATTGCCATTGTATTTTTCAAATGTGAGCAAAACAATCCGATACCCCGATGGAAAAAAAAATCAGGTTTCATTTAAGTACAGTATGTATTGAGAGGTTTAATTTACAGCAGATCGTTGGAAAATAGGTTGAAGCATGGCTTGGGGTCATTCTTGTTGCAATTGATTGATGAATAATTCAATCTGCTCCTGTTTGTGGGGGAAGCGTGGCCACTTTATGCCATCTGGGTGATTCATCCCCCTACAAATACACTGCAACTGGAAACCTGATCATTTGCCTTTATTTGTTAATTCTGTTCTCTGGCTGCAGATTTTTCCCGCTAGTCTGACATTGTCCAAAGGCTGCTTCTGCCTGTCTGCCTGAGGTCTGTGGGGCATTGCAGGACAAGGTGTAGACTCGGCGACGACAAGACCTCGGTGCAAAATGGACGCGGTACAATAGTTTGGTTTCCATTTCAAGACACATCTAGGATGGATATCGGTCGGTCAGAGCTCGGGACAGGTCACGGTGACATCACGGAACAAGCAAACCCGCAGATGGAATCCGATTCCTTGAACCGTAGCCCGCACGGCGAAAGCACATGTACAAGTCCAACACCAATGGCATCTAATGAGGATCAGGAAAGCTTTCCGGAGTTTCACGTACACGCTACAAACTACACCAAAGGACAACTGAAAATGAAATTGAAAAGCAATAAGAAATCTGGTCTGATGGAAACCCAACATAAACCGGATAGGGTGGACACATTATCTGGAGGCCAATTTGAGCAGGCTACCGACACACAGATGGTACGTATATTTTCTATTGAATTGGACACATTGTTTCTTGCAGTGATTATGTACATGTAAACACCAAAGGCCTATTCACCCATACTTAATCACTTGTGGAATATCACGAAAATGAAAATGAAACCACATGCATACATCCTTTAGCCATGACTTTGAACATATTTGTCATCAGACCATCAGTGGTCTAATGAAAACATTGACTTTTCTTGACTTGATGTTGGGCTATTCCAAAATTTTAGGGATTAGAAATTGCCTCTGAACCTCCCAACATGAATGACATAGTACACTGTACATGTACTTTGCACAGATTTAATGTCATTTACAAAAACTGTGAAGTATTTACATACATGTATGTTGTATACATTGTATACATGTACTGTGGACTCTCTGCACGAACAGTACCGGTAGATGGCGCTGCATGACCACTTTTGAGAGCTCCAGTTTGCAGTACACCCTGCATACACGCACTGATTCATACACGCACGGTACATTCCATGCATACAAATGTATGTGGCAAGTAATTTTATTCAGAATGTGCACATATTCATTCATTCATTCATTCATTCATATTTATTTCCACTTAATCATTTTGAAGGGAAACGGTTTAAACAATAATTTCGATAACAGGATAAGATTAAGCGGTGGGCTTCTCCAAAAAGCAAGCTTGTCAAGTGGAGAAGTCCATTATGTGTAGAAAAAAATATACATTAAATACATTTGTACACATGCAAAAGCCCATAGCATCTTGTTACTAAAATAATGTTAGCACACCATTTAGCACAATGGTGTCCAAGACTCGCCATTGATGGGGTATCTGGGTATCAAGTCCATATTAACCACCGAAAAAAAATGAAACATATTATATACCACTTCAGTACCCAAACGTGCTATTATTTTAAAAGGAGTCTTCATTGGAAACACATACAAAACAAGTATGTAATAAACAGTGTTGAATATATTGGAGAATTTGAGAAAATTTTGTGTTCCAGCAAAATGGCCCAGGGAGACAGGAATTATAGCCTAAATCATGAATGGAGATGTTAAAGGGAATGTACATCATTGGCTTTTGCTGTAATTTTCAGAAATATTTGAGGGGTTAGTACCGGTAGATCAAATATTGTTACACTGATATGTTTGAAGTTTTGTGTTCGAAAATGCTATAAAAACCAAGAAAAACAGAAATGTTCACGTAGTCTGGTTCCCTGACTCCACTAAAGATGAAATGGATTAATTTATAGATGCCGGAAAATTGTAAGGTAAGTGAACCAGTCTAGCTGGCCTGCACCCGTTCAAGAACATGTAACCAATAGCAAATAAAATTTGGACTGAACAAAATAATGGTAAATTTGGAGCAGTAGTTGAAAAATAGTTAGGTTTTTCCAACGGTGGTCAGCCGACCACCGTTGGAAATGACTTCACGCCAGGTGCCATAATTTTACAGGATGCTTTAGACTGGCATTTATCAACATCCTAGTAAGGTATTTCGTAAAAAATTGGTAGTCTTGTTTTTCGATGTCTGCAAATGTTGTATGTATGTGAGGCGAGAATCTTTGCAAGCATGTAATGGGGGAAAAAAATAATAGATTAGGCAAAAAATAAAAAAATTCTGCTTCCGATTACTTGGCATTTGAAAATAGGGTAGGTACGGTAGGTAGGGAATTAAAATTTTTGTGGCCATTGTTGTGTACGATCATATGGAGGTGTCTGCATAAAGAGTAGTATTTGATGGTTTTCCCCCCTCATTTTTACAAAAAAAAAAATTAGGGTAGGGGCTGTCAAAATAGGGAAGGTAGGGTAACCAGAAGCAGAACTATTTTTTGTTTGCCTTATGGTGTATGTATACATGTACATGAACTGGTTCATGTAGTTTCTGATAAGTGATTTTTAAATACCCGGTACATTAGCCACATATTGAAATTTTGTGGAAGGTCCTACATGTACTAGACAACAGTAAACATTTTTGTAAAATACATATATGTACATGTAGGTATTTTGCAGGCTTAATTGAGGTGATAACAGATTGACACAATTTTAAACGTACACGTGCAATATATAAACGTGTACATATTTTGTCCTGATTGTTCTTAAATTTTTGTTGAAAAAAGAAAAATACCCAGTTGGCCAGTGCCCGTTATATTTAATTGTTGGTATAATTGATTGACGTGAACTGCATTATTCCACTCGTGAAGATGTTCAGAGGTTGTCCCTGAAAATCTCCGCTCCATACTGAAACACAGATGCCAGAGCCGGCCAAATGCCAATGTTAAATATATTCCTGGGGTCAAGAGGTCGTGTTGTACATGTTGGCATGCATGGATTGGACCTGGTGTTGGGCAGGCTGTTAATATTGGCATGCATGTAGGGTGGCAGGAAATGACTAGGGATCACCATGGAAATACCCACCAAAAAAGTGCTTTTACTAAATTGATGTTTTTTTGTATAGCATACCAGGTACATAAATTTGTAATAGCACTGTTTTAATGTAAATTTACTTCTACCTTAATTAAGGTGCTTCTGTGGTCCCCCATGATATACTGTACATGTATACGTACATGTACATGTACAAGTACATGTGTAAGAGTAGGGATAGGCTAGAAGTAGTGCAGATACCTGTACAATTACATTTTTACATGTACCAGTTACATGTTTGTACTATGCACACGTTTGTAGTGTTCAATTTTATACCAAAACATGTTAATTTACATGTAAACATACATGTACCATGTACAGTACATGTACATGTATGTACTTGGGTACACATATAGTACCCGTACCCTTACCTACCAGTACATTCAAGGCATACATGTGCATAAACAAATTTAAATGTCTATTTAAGTCTGAAAAAATGAGCTTGACATTGAAATATTATAGTGCTAGTATGCAAAATACATTTTACGAAGAGTATGCACGTACCACTTATGACTGAATCATTAAAAAATGGCAGTATGATCTATCAATGCCTTGGACATGTGTTACCATACGGTACATATGATGAACATGTACATTGTAGTATTTGTAAGTGTACCGGTACATTAATTTACAAATTACAGTACAATGTCTTTGGGATTTCGGAAAAGATTAAAGGGGTATTACGGCCTAAAATCTCAGAAAAGGTTTGCGTTTTGGTTTGTTTACTTAAATCCTATTTCAAAGGTCTGCTTGAAAGGAAACTAACCCAGTGTCTTACCGTAGCGGACATTTTGTGGCATACACATGTATAGTATTTCCAGCCATGTCCATTCAAATGTACGCTACAGTGTGTGTGTGTCACATATTAACACACACAGCACCAATACAAAAATGTTGTTTCTCGCACGTCAACAGAATGCTATACACTGTGGGGCAGGATTTTACAACTAGCACTCAACAGCTTGATTTTTGAGAGTCAAAATTTCGACCCCCGAAATTCGTTCTCGCATGGTTCTCACAAAAATAACACCAAAGCACCCAGTTTTTTAAAGGATGGTTGTGTGGACGTTAAATATTCTACTTTTAAATGCTCTTTCCAATTAATATCATTTTGTTTAATACAGGTTTTGTACAGCCTAATTGGGCGCATATCAGGACGTAATGTCTCTTTTTAACACAGATTTACAAACAAATAAATTTGCATCTTGTTTTGAGGATGGAACTGACCACCATTTTGATTTGCACGTAGTGTGTAATAATACTATTGCTGCATTGATTATTAAAATGTTCTCGGCTGTTTAACAATATTTTCTTTAAATATGGTCTTGAATCCAGACCTTTCTCTCCCTCAACCAGTGAATTACAAATCAATATCCCTGAATCGCTGACAAGAGGCCCCAGACTAGCCACAGGGGTACACAAGCAGTGTCAGAGGAGACAGATGGCTGAGTGACAACAAGGTGGCCCAATAATCCAACCCCATCCCTTTTGTTGTAACTCCCCTTGGCCACTTTGCATCCTCACCAAATCAAATCAAGGAAGCGGTTCTGGTATAAACACTGCAAAGAAAAGGGGAAAAAATCCACACACAAAAAAAAACCGAAGATATACCCAAGGTGTGACCAGAATGCAATCCCGGGGATATGAGATGAAGTGGGGTCCTTAAATGACATCCATTGGGGGGACAAGGAACTCGGACTCTTAGACTATTTAACCTGATTACTAGCTTCCATTTATATCCCCTGGCCCGCCTGTCAATTTGGTGTCAACCACTCTTACTTAGCTAATTAGATGTGGAGAAAGTCTACTGCTTTAGTACAGGGGAAATGTCTTTGTTTGGGTATCCGAAAAGAAGAGTACACATATGAAGGTGTTAAGGATCAGTGAAATTCTCCTGAAGACGGTCAGAACATACTGACCGGAACGTCGAGTTTATACCTCTGGATCTTTTCAGAACCATTCTCTTAGTTGAGAAATTATTCGCACATGGTGTTTCCGCAAACCTTTCATTATTTAGTATCTCCACCATGCAAAGCCTCAGATTTTACTTGAAATTCGCCTGAAAAAGCTAAAAGGAAACAAGTGTAGGGGTTTAAACTTACAGTGAATTCATATTACTCTCAATTTTACATGATCATTAGTTACAATACTTATGGGCCTGTATCGGGTATTGGTACCGGTATTTTGTTAAAAATCAAGAAAATTATACAAAAATAGTGTTGATAATTTCAATACTTTTATTGGAAAAGTTGTCTTAAATTGGTACGAAAAGTGGATACCCAGTTGCTTGTCCCCTCAATGGTAACCCTATATGAATCTGACACTATGCATAAAACGTCCCATTGGGCAACAACACGCGTTTTATACGGAATGATATTAATTAGAAATTTAAAAGTAGAATATAAATGTCTACACAATTGGCAATGTTTGTGCTATTCGAGCGAGAACGAATTTCGGGGGTCCAAATTTTTCATCTCAGTTTATGGAGACTACAAAATCGTGCCAAATTTGACCTCTCACTTCTTAAAATCTAAAATATGTGTGGACTAGTGCAACTCGGAGCACTCGGACAAAGATGAACATTTATGAAAT